CAGCCAGCACTGGTTCACACTTTATAGATATTTCTTGCTTAAAACTCATTTTGTGTGAGGTCAGCACAAGAGCAGAACCTGCTGGATTTTCTCCAGAAGTTTGTAAATTTAACAAGCGTAACACTTCTGACCATTGTAAGTCATGTGACATCATGTGGGTCCAGTTGTCTAAGGTTATTTTCCCATAAAGAAGTTTTCAGTCCTCACTCCCTTTATGTGATTGCCAAAGTGCCTTTACGCTGTGGCCCCAGCAACATGACAGACCCTAAGACAGAGTTATTCTGTGATCTCCATCTACCTCCAGGATAGCTCAGAAGGCTATACAAAGGTGAGGACAGAGCAGCTGAAAAACTGCCTGTTCCTGGCTGTGTAGACTTGCCTCCCTGGCCAGAAAATTGAGCAATAGGCATTTAGTGTAATCTGATGAACTCCTTTCTTCTTAAATTCAGTGTCTCAGTGGAGATAAGGAAAGACTGACCATGCTTCATCTTTTAAATAAGAGTCTGAAGCCTATGTTTGTGCAGAGTCACACAGCATCCATTTGTGTTATCCTTCTTAATGCATAACAGAAAAGGGAGAAAAGGTATCTAACAGTTTGCATTACTGATTTTTCACAAGCAATGTTTGTACCCTGTCCCTGAGGGTGGTTCCCCACACCACACAGCTCTGTTTTCCAATTAATTAGACACAGAAATAGGCTAGATCACTAGTCACTGCAGTATGACTTTCCCTGCCTTGCCCCTTCAGCCAGCAGGAACTTCAGACAAAAAATCTATTCTTATACTGAGATCATGCGTTCAAAATATGAATATTAAGATGAAATGTTCCAAGTTTATATTGAATGGCTATCATGACTACCTTCTAAAACTCTGATGAAGAATTAAATTACTGGGCTAAAATATAACTTTTTAATAAATAATATGTACATGGGTCATCTCTTTTTGTGCCCAGATTTATGTTGCTCCCAAACTGGCAATGGCTCTTGGGCTAACTGTTACCAGACTGACTATTGACTCTTGGGCTGCAGTTACGAGATGTTCCCAGTTTACTGTAGGTCTGCTTATACAATGCAGCTTACAAATCTGTCTGAGCAATAGCACACATCCACATTTGGATAGTGGCACATGATGAAATTGTAATACAGCCAAGGGCAAACCACTGAAATTGTTCTGCTAATTAGTTGAAATTAATTGTAGGCTCAGTGCACCCCAACCTACTCCGAGTGTAGCTGCATTAATATAAAGGGCAAGCATCAGGGAAATATTTCATTCTCTGAAATTAATGAGTAACTTCCAAAGCTATTGGCAGCTACTCACAGTTACATGAAGGATTGGTTTCACCCCTTTCTGAATAACACTAAGTAATAAGCTATTTCTGTGCTGGAAGAAAACCCAACAATCGGGTTATTTGGCTGTGAAGGAAAAAATGGGACCCTAAGTATCCTTTCATCAGCACTGTCCAGACTTATCAAAGTGCTCTTTAAAAACTTGGCATCATAGTCCCTTTTTAACATGCCCTTTGAGGAGCTGATGCCCAGAGTGGCAGTGTGACTCATTCTAGGCCACCTGAAGAGTCAGTGGGAAACTGGAAATAGAATTTGAGTATTGGATGAGAACTGTGTTTTGTAATTGCAGCTTATTCTGCCCTCCATTCAAAGAGAAAAAAAAAAAAGCTCACTGCTGTTTCTGCTTATCTGTAGTAATCAAAAGTATATTTTCCCAATGCTCATAGTCAAGAGCAGCCGGCAAGTATCTGAAGAAAAGTCATGATCTGGAAAATAATAATCAGTTGTTTTCCTTGAAGATGAAGGGAATTAAGTTAAACTGAAGCTTTCATCCCAGTTTCTCTCTACTTTTTCAAAATGGGTATAATATGTAACAGGACTAGGCAGTTACTACAGAGCAACTTCAAACTGCAGTTTAAATAAAAAGTGGGTATCAAGGCCAGCAATGTGTTGATGTAAAATCAGATACAGATCATGTTTAATAAAAGATGAGTATCGCTTCATTGCCATTCCATCTTAAGCTCATTCACTAGAAAACCAAGCAAGTGCTCTAAACACGTGCCAGAGCTGGTGGAGAAATCAGGTTTTTAAACAAAATGATGGCGTGAGTAAAAGCAGTAGACCTTTCCTCCAGTGTCCCACAAACATACCGTTAGGAAAATAGGCAAAAATAATCCTCGGTGACCAAACAGTTTCTAACACTGAAGCTCCTGCTACCTCATTTTGCATACAGTTGTCCAGGTAGCAGCTTTCAAACTAATTTTGAATAACTGTTTAGGCCAGCGATTTAAAGTGTTTTCATGCATAATGTATCCCTGCATCAGCTGATCTCTCAGACAGTCCTTTTGTACTTATCAAATAGCATCTTTGGTATGGAAGTTGTTCAGAGAACATAAATGTCACAAAATGGTATTTATACACAAACTTGGAAGCTCCCACTTAACACTTGTCTACCTGAAAATTTTGAAGCCATGTTACTTCAAAGCTGTGCTTACCTGATATTAAAATTCTGTTGAAATAGACAGTTCATGAGCACTGTGAACTTCAGTAACAGACACAAAGCTCACTTTGCCATACAGTCCTCCCCAAAGTGAGAGACTTAACTATTTCATCTGACAAGGTTTATTGCATTTGAAACCACTGAACAACTGAATTCTCTTAGCTTCAGAGAGAAAATGAGCTACAGGCATGGAATGTAGATATTCTCTTCAGAAATAATGGGTGCTGCATTTTATTCATAAATGCGTATCTATATTCCAGCTGGTAAATGTATAGGAATACAAAACTGTACCATCTGGTACACCTTCTTTCTCTTTGCTCTTTGCTTCTTGGATGTTTCTGTCTTTGTGTTCAGCAATCTTATCTCATGCCCTTGTCATAATTCAAAATATGATTTATAGTCCAGAAACTACAGTGGTTGTGATAATGCTAAACTTTCCTTTCCCCAAGATTTTATATTCTTGTAGCAAATATGTTTTGCTGTCAAAGAGACTGAGGATGGACACTCTTAATATCTGAAAACCAAAATAAAGCTTACACCATTGTTATTTCTATAAATTTAATAGAACCTACTTTGTTTAAATCAACCACAATTAGTCCAGAGCCACTCAAACCTCACAGATTCTGCATTGGTGAGGTATCTACAACATGACTTACTGAGCTAGTTTTGTTTAGTTCTCACCCAGAGCTTCTAGATTTATCACATTCTCAAGCACAATGCAGGCAGGCATTCACATTCAGGCTTAAGGCACAGATAATAGGACTCAAGTTGAGGACTTCTATACTTAAGCACAGAGATTAATGGTAATTTTATTTCAACTTCTCTGCCTTCCTGTCCATAGTCACTCTGGGAGGTGTTTGTCATTACAGATAACTGCACAATACTTCTTGTCCCAAATAATACAAAGTTATACCTCCAGAAAAAATATTACATTGTCAATACAACAGTCAGTAGAAAAACTGTAGATCTTTGTTAGCCTTTTAATTAAAAAAGTGTCCTAAAGTAATATGAGAGCCTATCATAGGATGAGCAGGAAATAAAAGCTTTCCCTTGAGATCAGGTAAAAAGACACTGTTTATCATGCTGGAAAAAAACTAAAGGTTTTGAGTAATTTTTTGAAGGCAGTAAAATACCTGAGAGCAGGTGCATGTGCACATGGCTCTGAAAAAGATGAAAGGATGGATTTGTGTTAGAAAGTGTTAAAGAACTTAATTTCATATTGTAGATTATGTCATAGCCTGGGTACAGTTCTTCTGAAGCTAGTGACTCCCAAGGTCTGAGTCAAGGTCATACAGAAAACTAATTGATCTATCGTTAGCAAGGGCCAAATCTAGGCTAGTAAGTCAACACCTTTTGCACCTGGACGTCTTTGCAGGTGACTACTATGAGTGACCAAGGATGGAGTTTGCCTCTGGAGCTTTTTCAAAGCATCAGCTAGCAACAGAACTGATGTTGAGGGGTCTGGAGAGGATGCTGGATCATGGCAGCCACGCGCTTATATTGGAAAGTAGCACAGATGACAGGAAACAGAAATATTTTCCCCATAGCTTTTAGATGTTGAAGGTACATGAAAAGCCCACATTTCCTACTTCCTATCAGCATTAACTTCATCTTGATTATTGGGTTGTGGAGTTTTGCAGCAACTTTTTTTGTTGTTGTTTCTTTGTTTCGGGTTTGATTTTGTTTACAATTTATTATTCATTGAAGAAGAAGGATGAGGCCCAGGCAATAATCTGCCTTCTGCCTTTTTCAGGGACTTTCTAATGGTTTTAATGAGGAGGGTTATTCATGTGAATGGCTGTAGTTTATATTAAACACTACAAATCAGAGGTGGGCATTCCTTCACAAACATAACGTAGTCAAAAGTAATAAACAGATATTTTTTCCTCTCCAGAGCACCATTTGTGGGAAGTAATTTTTCTATAAAGCATAATTTCAGTCATCCCCTGTCATTTCAAACACTGTGTATCATTGCAAAGTATCACTTTAACTATAAATAGAAAGATTACCTTATGATTATTTTGGCTTTAGAGCAGGATCTCTCTTGAGACATATTTGAGTGAGAGCTTTATTTTTCTTCCTGAGCCATTGAGGAATTCTATATTTTTTTCTATCAGAAGGCTTGCCATTCATAGCAAATGATGAAGTATCAGTCCAAAGGGGGAATGAAAATACTTCTATTTCTGAGGAATGAAGAGGAATTATATGAAGTACTAGCAGCCAAATAACTGACATCCTATAGATTTCGTTCTAGGACTCGTTATAGTTTTTCAGGATATTTATGTCACTTTTTAAAAGATGAACAGAAACAGCTGAGGAAAATTTTGTTTACAAAATACTACTGCCTCTACTGATGTAATTTTTCATATTACCAAATGAAATTAATGAATTATTTGGATTCAGTTTGGATTTCTGGGGGATTTTTGTTTGTTTCCAAAGATTCTTCTGCAACATTGAAAAATGCTGCATACAACTAAATCTGGTTTCTCTCTACAGGCATCACAACTGTATTGACCATGACAACTTTGAGCACCATTGCAAGAAAGTCATTACCCCGTGTGTCCTATGTCACCGCTATGGATTTGTTTGTCACTGTATGTTTTCTATTTGTCTTTGCTGCTCTGATGGAGTATGCAGCCCTCAACTACTACTCAAGTTGCAGGAAACCAAACTGTACTAAGAAGAAAAAGTCGGTAAGATGGCCACATTTAAATTTCTTTTCTAACGTGTGCATGGCTGAGAGAGCAGACAACCATTCAGTGGCAGCCTGTAATCCTTTGATACTCTGCCGCTTCAAGCTCTTATCAGTTTATGGTGTGATCTGCTCTAAAAGCTGGTAGAAAATAGTTGCCCACAGCAACGGCAGAATCAGTTACGTGCTAGTTGAGTGGTCTGTTCCTAACTGAAACAACCTGCTGACCATGAAGCCTGCCTACAGGTCTTTTGTCTGTATGTCATAAAGGACTCCCACTGAAACAGATTGCATAGCTTGTTACACAAACATATGCACATCAATGTATATTCAAATGGATCCGCTTCTCAGCTTAACGTGTCTAGAAATACTTATGAACTTCACATTTCAATATCTCCACTTGGAACCAGGACTTATTTTTAGCCCTATGCACAAAGAAGCTTATTCCCAAGTACAGAAACAGAGGCCGCTTAATAAAGATTTTATACTTCGCTGCATTTTGGACCAAAAAGACGCTTCGAGGAGTAACACTCAGACGCCCCCCAAAAGCTGTTTATTTAGAATCAATTAAAACGATCATGTGAAGAAAGAACTGCCTGGTGTACTTTATAATTGACTACGAGGATAACAAGGGGCAGGATAATGGAGAAAAAAAATCTCAGTGAAAACATAGGGAAGGGGAAGTGGATTGTCTGCTCAAGAGCAGTGGAAACTATTGTGCTTGAGAGCATTAATTGGACATGTTGGATGCCATTTTGTGTAATGAAGGAAATAAGAAAATTTGAAGGTGGAAATTGAAGAAAGAGAAGGCTAATTTCAAGGAATAATAGGTCATGAAGTAAAAGGGGTTAGATGAAGGGCTATACAAAAGAATTGAATGAGGAACTAATGAAGGAAAAGCTGATATAAATATGGAATTAGAGAAAACCTAGAAAACCATTGACTTAGTTATGAAATTTCCATCAAACCTCTAATAGTATCGTGTAAAAATGCATTGCTCACAAAAGGCAATAGTGTTGCCAAAAGAAAAGTGTGAGGCCATCAAAATGAACTTGCTAATGATGAAACTGAAATTATAGAAAGACTGAATGAAAATGTCATGAGTCTCTTTGTGAGTAGGATATATCTCTAGACATGTGAATGAAGATGAGTGAAAGCATGCAACAATGATGAGATTTAAATTAACGTAAGAATCAACACATACTTAGCTATTGTTTGCTAAGTAATTAATGAGTAGAATAAAGATTTAAAATAGGTGGAAACTAAGTGTGCACTCTACTGAAGTTTCATGCAGTTTTAAAGTGTATAGATTTTACCCTGAATATACAGAATATTCAGCATGAATTGTTTTATGGACAAATGCATTTAAATGCTAGGTTTAAAAAACGCTATTGAACATTAGATGCATATGAAGTAATGTTTCCTTCTGAATAATTATTTTGTTATCTTCATTTAAGCTACCTGATGTCAGTTTTGGCCATGTGATGGTAAGTAAACTATTCAGTGAAAGCAATGGAGGCATGAATGTATGGTTGACATTTACTTGCAATAATTCCTGAGAAAGCTGTAATGCTGTTACACTTTACCCTGAATTTTCTATAAATACTGCTTTACTTTTTTTGTTAAAAGGCCAGTTTGGTTTTGGCTGTGGCAGAGGAACATAGCTGCCTCTTTCAATAAGGACTTATCAAATTATTTGGGAGAGAGAAGGGTCAAGTGTATAATATTGCATATTATTTTTGCCCCAGAAATTGTGTGCCTGCTTTATGCAATACTGCAGTTTCTCACTACATTTTATAAAAAAAGTAATAAGCACAAATTATATCACAAACTTACATGGAGTTTTTACTAAGTTTCATGAAAAATAATTCATTTATGCGTATCTGTAAAATCTTTAATAAGCTTTCAAGTGGATTTTCAAATTATTTAGGCACGCAAGTTGAACACAGTTAGTTGTACTATATCTAAAAATGCAATAAATTCTATTCCTGAAACCTCCTCATAACTGTTTGTATGCATACAGAAGTGATAAAACTGAAACTGAGCACCAAATTGTGTTTCCAAGTTGTATGAAATGTGAAACTGCAATCCATACTAATATATATAAAAGCATATAGAGGGCTAGTTACTTAGCTGCTTGGGTGGCCTGATTCCTAGTTACCAGGTCCAAATAAGAACAGGGACAGAAATGAAACATTGCTTTTGCATTTCTTGGTTTGAATATACTGAAGTTTTTCATTTACAACTGCTTGCTCCTTAACAAATAATGTTCTAGATTTTATTTTCAGTTTTGGTTGTTTTTTTTTCCATGAGTTTTCTGATGTATTTAAAGCGCTCTATAGCATTGAAAATCTGCTCATTGACAATGAGCATTTTTACAGCAAGCATTGCATTTGTGCACTCACTACTGCTGTCACTCCCTGGACAGATTTATCTGAAAGAATAAGTTAATAAGGCACATTGACTGGGTAGCGGTACTTTTCTTTTTCCAATTAAAAAAAAAAATGGAAAAGATACACAATTAAATGACAATAGGATTTAACACTTAGTCTTTGGCTAGATCTAGTCAATCTGATCTGCTTGGAAAATATCTGCAGCCTTTGCAAGCCCTTCCCTTTTCCATTTCCCTCTCCCTCTCCATCTTCCTCTTATTTTTCCTTTTCCTTCTCCCTCTCCCTCTCCAAACTCTCTTCTTTTTCCTTTTCCCTCCCCTCCCTTTCCCTCTTCTTCTCCCTCTCCCTCTCTCTCTCCTTTTTTGTCAGTATAAGACAGATATCGAGCAGGGCCCTCTCCTATACGCAAACAACTTCCATGTTCGAACTGTAACACAACCTGCATATATCTCTGACTCTCAAGGTATCATCTTGTGCTTTCCAGACTTCTAGTGATGCCACCTAAAAGGTGAAATTTATTAATCTTAGTAAACCCATGCTTAGGTAATCCCAACCCTTGTTTTTCTCCTAGAGAAACCTCCACACTTATATCTTGTCTGAAATAATTTTATTTCAGTGCTGGGTACTGGGATGGTGCCCACTGGCTGTGCACCCCTTTCCTCCCAACCCCAGCTCAGCAAGACATACAGGACTCAGTGGGTACCATCCACCTTCACCTTGTATCTAGTCACTTCAGTACCCCTACGAGCAATCAAATTAATCAGGGCATTTATTTTCTCTTCTGTCATGAGCAGATAGTTGATAAAACAATAACAAAAAAAAAACCCAGGCTATTGATAGATGAGAAAATTTCCTTTTCAGCACTAGGGCACTTATTTATCTTCACTTATCAAAATCATCTGGAGAGGTCTAACTTAACCTTACTTTTTATTATAAGTATTATAGCCAGGCATAGAAAATTTCAGTCCCTGAGTAGGAAATTTTTATAAAAGACTGAAATAAATGAACAATATGTGTCACAGTGGTATAGTAGAACTCCATATACTCTTTAGTCATAGCTTTTTTTCTCTCCAAAGTGCTGCAGTCAAAAAATGATTGCTTGTGCAATAATCTTAGCCTTTTTCCGTGTACAGCATACTGTAAACCTCCAAAACCAGCCACTTGAAATTTCACAAATGGGAGCGAAGACCATGAGGGTGTAATTTCTGTCATCTAATCTCAGATATAAAGTCATTCACAACAAATAGATTTGGAATAATCTGCTTCTAAATGGCAATATATTCACAGTCCACAGCACAACTCACCTATGAGATTTTAGCCATTTACTTATGATGAGATGAATTGAGTCCTAGAAGTAATTGGCTGGATACCATAGGACAGTTGCTCAGGTGTAGTTAACTATGTTGGAGATGCCAACATCTAAGCAGAAGGATGCCACATCAAATTCTTAGCTCAGAGATCAGCATTTTTAATGAAATGGGTAGTAGTATTGTGTGCCAAACCAAAGGGCTTGTAGAAAGAAAATGAAGTCAACAGCCTTTTCAAGCAATTGATAGGGGAAATCCCATGGGCAAGGCTGCTTGAAGGTAAAGGGGCCCAAGATGGTTGGCATTCAAGGATTGCTTTTTCCGAGCTCAAGATCAGAGCATCCCGACATGTGGGAAGTCAAGGAAGAGGTCCAGGAGACCTGCATGGCTAAATAGGGAATTGCTGGGTATGCTCAAGTGGAAGAGGAGAGTTTACAGGTCATGGAAGGAGGGGCTGGCCACTTGGGAGGAATATAAGGCTGCTGCTAGAGGATGTAGGAAGGCAGCTAGGAGGACTAAGGCCTCCTTAGAATTAAATCTGGTGAGAGGGGTCAAGGACAGCAGAAAGAGCTTTTTCAAATACATGGCAGATAAAACTAACACCAGAGGCAATGTAGGCCCACTGATGAACGGGATGGGTGCCCTGGTGACAGAAGATACAGAGATGGCAGAGTTACTGAATGCCTTCTTTGTCTCTGTCTACTCTGCTGCAGGCAGTCCTGAAGAGCCCTGTACCCCTGAGACCTTAGATGAAGTCAGGTCAACGGAGCGGTTTGCCTTAGTCGATGAGGAATGGGTTAGAGACCAGTTGAGCAATCTGGACATCCATAAATCCATGGGTCCAGATGGGATGCACCCGCGGGTGCTAAGGGAACTGGCGGAAGTCATTGCTAGACCACTCTCCATCATCTTTACCAAGTCTTGGGAAACGGGAGAGGTGCCTGAGGACTGGAGGAAAGCAAATGTCACTCCAGTCTTCAAAAAGGGCAAGAAGGAGGACCTGGGTAACTATAGGCCGGTCAGCCTCACCTCCATCCCTGGGAAAGTGATGGAACACCTTATCCTTGGTGCCATCTGAAGGCATATCAAGGATAAGAGGGTTATGAGGGGCAGTCAACATGGCTTCACCAAGGGGAAGTCACGCTTGTCCAATCTCATAGCCTTTTATGAGGAAATAACACGGTGGATGGATGATGGCAGAGCGGTGGATGTGGTCTACCTTGACTTCAGCAAAGCATTTGACACAGTCTCCCACAGCATCCTCACGGCTAAAATGAGGAAGTGTGGACTGGATGATCAGGTAGTGAGGTGGACTGTGAACTGGCTGAAGGAGAGAAGCCAGAGAGTTGTAGTCTATGGGGCGGAGTCTAGTTGGAGGCCTGTAACTAGTGGAGCGCCTCAAGGGTCAGTACTGGGACCAGTATTATTTAATATATTCATCAATGATTTAGATGAGGGAATTGAGTGTACTATCAGCAAGTTTGCTGATGACACTAAGCTGGGAGGAGTGGCTGACACGCCAGAAGGCTGTGCTGCCATCCAGCGAGACCTGGACAGGCTGGAGAGTTGGGCAGGGAATAACTTGATGAAATATAACAAGGGAAAGTGTAGAGTCCTGCATCTGGGCAGGAACAACCCCAGGTTCCAGTATAGGTTGGGAAACGACCTGTTAGAGAGCAGTGTACGGGAGAGGGACCTGGGGGTCCTAGTGGACGACAGGATGACCGTGAGCCAACACTGTGCCCTTGTGGCCAAGAAGGCCAATGTCTTCCTGGGGTGTATTAGAAGGGGGGTGGTTAGTAGGTCGAGAGAGGTCCTCCTTCCCCTCTACTCTGCGCTGGTGAGACTGCACCTGGAATATTGTGTCCAGGTCTGGGCCCCTCAGTTCAAGAAGGACAGGGACCTGCTGGAGAGAGTCCAGCGCAGGGCAACTAAGATGATTAAGGGAGTGGAGCATCTCCCTTATGAGGAAAGCCTGAGGGAGCTGGGTCTCTATAGTTTAGAGAAGAGGAGACTGAGGGGTGACCTTATTAGTGTCTATAAATATATAAAGGGGGAGTGTCACGAGGATGGAGCCAGGCTCTACTCAGTGGCAAACAATGATAGGACAAGGGGTAATGGGTACAAACTGGAACACAAGAGGTTCCACTTAAACTTGAGAAGAAACTTCTTCTCAGTGAGGGTGACGGAACACTGGAACAGGATGCCCAGGGAGGTTGTGGAGTCGCCTTCCCTGGAGACATTCAAAACCCGCCTGGACACATTCCTGTGTAACATTATCTAGGTGTTCCTGCTCTGGCTGGGGGATTGGACTAGATGATCTTTTGAGGTCCCTTCCAATCTCTAGCATACTGTGATACTGTGAAAAAGGAAAATTTCCACCAAGGCAGGTCAGTCCTATTTCTGATCTGTTTCACATCCAAAGTGAAAGTTTTCAGGTGCACCCCACCACCTTCAACAGGAAATGCTAAGTACTTTGTATTGTAAGTGTGGAAGCAGGGGCCCAGATTGTCCTGCAGAATGCATGCAGGCATGAAGCAGAGGTATGACTAGATTGTTAATGGACACCCAGCATGCTCCTGCAGGCAGAGGCAATGCTCAGTGCAATCACAGGGAGAGGAAGGTCCCCTGAGGTAGAAAAAACTGCACTGGCAGGGCTGGAGTCTGCTTTGTCAGGGTGATGCAGACAGGCAGTGAATCTGATGGGACAGTAGATGCCAGTAGAGGAAGTGACATTTGTGAGGATAGAATGGGTGGCTTGATGAGAGAGGAAACTGTTGTAAGAAAGCACCTTTCATGAAAAGGAAATGGTGTGATAGAAAAGCTGACAAAGTGCAAATAGAGAGTATACTGGAGAAAGAGAGGTCTGTAGGAGTGAGTAGTGCTGTGAGGATGCGTGATATCAAAATGTCCTATTTCTGAGCATGGTTAGTGCCATACACACTAAAGGGCACAATGCCTAGGGGTGGCTTTTTGAAATCCTGTACTGAAATAATCACTATCTGTTGACCATATCTGTTTTTATAAATTATGGTAAAGTTCAAAGGCAGTAAATGAAACTATAGTAGCTGGAGATTATTCTGTAATGAAATGATGGGGGGCAACATGTTACTTGTTTTTCAGAATCCACTCTTAAATGTAGTAGCTACAAGTGTTTAAGGAAACTTGACAATAGCATTCTGACAGGCAAATGAACTCCTAAGTGTGAGAAAAAAAAAAAAAGATTATTTGAGTTACCCAAACAGGAAATACACCTAGAATTATTTAACTTTCTACTCCTCAATGTCTTGATGGTAATTTCAGCTGAAAAGGCATCTTTTGAGGGAAAGAAAGATGCTCTCTAGATCTAGAATTACTACAGTATCAACCTCTTATTCTCAGCTCCTGTAATTTTTTTTTCCTCATGATTCTTAATTTTGATTTGTATCATTCATGGAAGCTTATCAAAATGTTGGTTTCTTTTTCTCTCCTCAGAATTATTCTGTACTTGATATGAGACCACCAACTACAGTCATCACACTGAACAATGCCATGTACTGGCAAGAATTTGAAGATGCGTGTGTCTATGAATGTCTGGATGGGAAAGACTGCCAGAGCTTTTTCTGTTGTTATGAAGAGTGTAAATCAGGCTCATGGAGGAGAGGACGGATTCACATAGACATCTTAGAACTGGACTCTTACTCTAGGGTCTTTTTTCCTACATCCTTCCTGCTGTTTAACCTGGTCTACTGGGTTGGATACCTCTATCTTTAAATGTTGCCTGTAGTGGTGAAGACTGCTGTGTTTTCACGCTGCGGAGGGATGGTGAAAGTGGAGAAAAAGTGAAGGATGCTGTCAGTTTCATCTCAAATTATAAAAGCCACATTAACCTTCACCGTCACAAAGCCTAATGAAGAATTTTAATATGTAATTGCCTGAAAAAAGAAAAGTGGGGAAGAATTCTCTCCTTACTGCTGTTCATTTTAAGCAAAAGATCCTTACCAAATTCAGTTGAATTTGTAGTGTAAGCAATGTTTATGAATAATGACTGTACGTTACAATCTCTACTGTTCTCCCTTGGCATAGAAGTTATACACAATTCAGGCAAAGTTTAAATATGTAATTTTTGGTTTTCATTCCTATACTTTCTTCAGAATGCTGCCATATTCCTGAGGCTCATAGCAACATACACTGGCGCTGGCAAATAAGCCAAAGCTGATGAATCCACTTATTTGTATTTAGTCTTGCTTGAGCTATGTCCCATAGATTTTGGGAAATATTTCATCAGTGATCTCCTTGCTATAGAGAAACTACCAAATGACAGTAGGAAATGTGTCTGGTGTGATCAAAACATGGACGTTACTTTCTGGGATTCATGGAAGTAGCCACTTACCTACACATATTGGTTTTAACTTAAGGTGAAAAGGAAGAGTTATGAGAAAGCTATTATTTTGATATAAATAAAAGACTTGCCTATCACTGAGGCAGCTGTAGGCATAACTTCTAAAATTTTTCAAGCTTTTAACTGTCTTTTTTATGACTGGTTAAACACAGGATGGTCATTGATTTTTAAAGTACTTGAAGCAGGAAAAGATTCCTGCTTGTTTCTGTCATTGTAGCAGATCATAGTTGATAGGCCATGAGTAAAAATCACTATATAATAGCACTAGGAATATGTGACTTTCTTCAGATTAGAATTTACTAAAAAGTGCTCTCATGCATTCTTATTTTTTCTCTCAAAGTTATTTTACAAAATTGAAAAACATGTGTGCCAAAGGACATTTTTTGTTCCTTCCATAAAATTAAATATTGCAGTCCTTACTCACAGCAGTTGTTCCCTGGGTCTGAGCTGAAGACTGAACACTTTTCATTTCACTTAGAAAGGGCATTATGGGAACTCATTTGGAATAATCATGGAATAGTAACCACATGTAGGAAAATGTCGTTTTCATTTTTTCCTAAACTACCAACTAATATAAAGCTGTTTTGTATTTTTTTAAGCTTTTGCGCATTAAATTCTTAAACTACCCACTTTTAAAAACTAGCTTTACGGTGTTAAACTAGATTACATATTTTACAGACAGTCTTAATAATTATTATTAAGCAAAGAAAACAGATTCAAAACGAAATAGCAATGGCTTGTTACTACCCTTTGGATGTCAAATGGTTAGAAATGACTAGAGTTAAAACATGCCTAAACCCAAAATTCTGGGTTTTTTTTTTGTCTTCTGAAGGACTTGATCATCTCAAAAAAAATGTGTGTCTCTTTCACACAATAGTTGATAAAAAATGAGTGGTAGATGTGATTGAAGAGCAGTTCTTTTTCTCCTTAGAAGGAAAATCCTACAAACAAAAACTAATGCAGTGGTAATTCTAAAAGAACAGAAATTCTGTTGTGCTCTTTGAAAATTCACTGTTCTTGCTGTTGCTCTGTGATTCCAGTGAGATTTAACTGAAAAAAAATTACACAAAAGTTAATTGTATTTATTCCAAAAACTTGCTTCTGTTTTTCTCATGTCTAAATTATCAGACAGAATTGGATTTAAGTGGGGTAGTTCTTTCTAAGGTATGAAAAAATTCAAATTAGAAGCACAGAGAAGAAATACTTGGGTTAGGTTTATTAGCAAAATCTGCCCAATCTGATGCCTTCTAAATCCATGATGACGTTCTGATTTAAAAATACATGTTGAAGGTTTTGGTAACTCTCAGTAGCAAATTACTCTAAAATCTATTACTCTCTAAACCTCTGCATCCTGCACTTGGAAGTGTGCATTTTATTTAAGAATGTGAGTTATATTTTCATCAGTGCAAGAAAGCGATTGAATTGAAGTTGAGTATCCTGGCCTCTATTTATGAATTAGTCTACTCTAACAACCACCTTCAGCCATATTTTGAATGAATGTTAGATATATTTCAAAACTAAATAAAAGAACTGAAAGTTATCCTTTAGGGGCCTGATCCTGCAAACCCTCTGCACAATCAATTGAATTTGGTAGGAGTATTGAAACGGATCATAGAATCATAGAATAGTTAGGGTTGGAAAGGACCTTAAGATCATCACATGCCAACCCCCCTGCAATGGGCAGGGACACCTCGCACTAAACCATGTCACCCAAGGCTTCGTCCAACCTGACCTTGAACACTGCCAGGGATGGAGCATTCACAACCTCCCTGGGCAACCCATTCCAGTGCCTCACCACCCTAACAGGAAAGAACATCCTCCTTATATCCAATCTAAACTTCCCCTGTTTAAGTTTTAACCCGTTACCCCTTGTCCTATCACTACAGTCTCTAATGAAGAGTCCCCCTCCAGCATCCCTATAAGCCCCCTTCAGATACTGGAAGGCTGCTATGAGGTCTCCATGCAGCCTTCTCTTCTCCAGGCTGAACAGCCCCAACTTCCTCAGCCTGTCTTCATACGGGAAGGTGCTCCAGTCCCCTGATCATCCTCAAGGCCCTTCTCTGGACTTGTTCCAACTAGAAGGTACCTTCCACCATTAGGTCTTGAAAAGCTCAAGTGAGGTTTATTTAGCAGTTGCATACTTGATTGAATGTCCTGGGAGTAAGTGTGGAAGCGGAATGTTCCCATTTTAGATGATGAGCATATACCTTTTTTACACTTCTGCTCATGGCTATCCATTCTTTCTAAAAGCATACAAGCCCATCAGAACCTTCCTTGGAAGACTGAGTCTGCTAAGTCTCTTCATACTGCCTTTGTTTTCTGGGTGCTTTCATAAACGGAAGTTTTAAGTATATAGTTCTATTTGCCATGGTCCTAACCAAGAAAGAATCTGCAGACATCACTGGCTCCTGCTCTTTTATTGACAGCAGAGGACGTATTCTACAATGTAATATATTCTATTCTGGGGTTATGTAAAAAAAATTAATTATATGGAAGGTGAGCAGCCACAGGCCGGCAGGTTCCAGAATGCATTCCTCTGCATATTCCTAGTTGCTTGGTTTACTCTCTCTGCTTCAGTGCTCTGTCTTTGGCAGCCACTGAAAACCCAGAGATAAGGAAAGATAAGCTTTCTAGGCTCTGCATCATTCAAAATGCAATTATTCTAGACAACTAGATAATGTGGTCTGCATATATCTATGTGCCATATCCTTCTGTAGTAGTAAGAATATCCTTATTAACCTCCAGATACTCTTGTGAATTGAAAAAAACCCAACAGTTCTGTGCACTGCCCCATGAGAAATACAAGAACCACCTTTTAGCATTTTGGACCATTTTCTTCTAAGATAATTTCATTTTCGAAACTTACATTTTTTCAATTACTTCTTTTTGTTAGTACTTCTTTTTATGCTTCTAAGGAAGGGAAGGAAACAGAGAAAAGCAGAACTGAGTTACTAGTGGGATGAATGAATTTGGGTATGTATGTAAAACCACAAAATCAAGTGTCTTCACATTACACTCCTTTCTGTTTGAAGTTACAGAAAAGATTGTGAGGCTTTGTTTATCTAACCAGGATCTTCCTTTTAACTTTTGTAAACTTTTTACTTTAACTTTAACTTTAGACATTTCTTTTCCCAGGAAGATCTAAAGTCAAACCTCTTATTCTCTCTCTTCAATTAGAAGTTGATGGGCAACCTTTTCCAGCATTGAGGGCAACATTTTCAAGATATTTAAGAATTTATAAAAATATTGGTCTGCTTAGTTCTCCTGGCCTGATGCCTAACATATTGACAGCTTCTTCTTTTACAGTGATTCTTCCAAGTATAAGTGTATGAAAACTTGCAGCTAGTTTACGCCGTGTCCATTTCAAGCAGTAATGTGGAACTGAAGTACACCACACACCACACAATTTTAATGTAACTTTCTAATCAAGAAGTACAGTTGTAGATTACAACACCTCAGGCACTTTGATAGTCTTTTTTCTCTTTCAGATACTAATTTTCTCCTCCACCGATTCTCACCTGTGTATTGGTATATTGTACATACCAGTAAAAATGCTAAAAATTACAGCAGCAAGAATCAAAAAAGCCAGAACTGTCTTCATAGAGACAGCAATGAGTAGTGAAGCTAAAAGAGGAGGAGGAAATTATTTCTTATTGCTGTGCAGTTCTTATCTGTCCTACTCCTTTTATTCAATTCTTCCCACCCACTATCCACAGCTAATTCCAAATCATCCAACTGGTGGTTTGCACATTCATCAGCTGGAACAGCAGTGACACATGAGCTGATAGGAAATGATATTTTTGGAACTGGAGGCATCATGCCAAATGGCTCAGATAGATAGCTATCATCTCAAACACTTCTGCAGCCCTAATGTGTCTTGGAGTCTAGCACCTCATCTTGTTGCATGAATTTATCACAGCTCGCCTTAATTGATCATTTCATGAAGGGAAGAATGCTTGCCTCCTTTTTACACCAGATTCCACCATACACCTAGGAAAGTGGCTCTGCCCTGCCCGTGCTCCTAGGGACCAGCTGCAGCTCTGGAAATACCTAATTGCTGTACTGCTTTGTGGGCAGGGAGACTCCATATTTTAAGACAGATTTCACCAGTCTCAGAATCTGGAGGGCTGATGTTACTTTCTAAGCTGTAAAACAAAGCACCCACTACAACTTATAAAGGATGTCCGTAACAGACTATACTTTCCCCATTGGTTGCTTTTTCTGGGTTTCCATAAAGCACTAAGAAAAGGCAAGCCATACCCCATAATCTTAGCTGCCTACCCAATTAGATTACTTTTTTCAAGGGATATTCTTCTCCTTCTTGCTTACAGTGAAATCTTTGTGCCTCTTACATTAGTGCCTTCAGCATTTCTTGATGGCAAAGTATATGCTATTCCCAGCCTGAGAGTTAGAAAGAGGGACAATGGACTTGCTGGAGTTCTTCCTGAGCACTACAGTGAGTGATCAATATTCTAGATGTCTTCAACTTAAACAATGAGCATTTACACTGAGCATTTGTCCAATTTTTATTTATATTTTAAGCAGTCTGTAGGTTTCTTAATTCCTAAGTAGCAAGGAAACTGCAATGAGATTTCATCAGTTTGGCAGAATCCTTCCTTCACTCAGCAACTTCATTCCACCAAGACGTACAGACATGTG